CACAGTTTCATCCCAAGGAATCTTCTGAACGATGGCAGCTCGAGCCATTTTCTTTAGACTCAACTTCACCGGCTCTAGGAGGCCAAGCACGTCAAACACTGAACCGATGAACTTCATCATCTCTCGCGGCGTGACCTTTCCAAGCTCGGGCACTGTTGGGTTTCGCACGGAAAGAGTGTCGCTTGCTTGATTCCACATAGTGCCGAGCACTTTCGCTAAAACTGCACTCTTTTGCCCGTTCCACTCTTGTTGAAGCTCGGGCACGTTGGTATCCCACTTTGCGAGTGTAAATCCCGCACTGGCAAAGATTTCCATCGCCTCCGTTCGCAACTGCCTGGCGTCTTCTGGTGATGGCACACTGAGGACCAAGTCGTCCATGTAAAAAGCGTCTCGAAGGAGGTTAGCACTGAACGGATGACTGGTTGAGTGCTCCTCAATCAGCTGCTGGATAGCGGTCATCAGTATAGCAGGGCTGGACACCAAACCGAAAGGGAGCCGGCACATCTCGAAGATTTTCAGTCCCTCCTCGGTTTTCCAGAGGAAACGTAGATACTTTCGGTGCTCAGGCACAATCTCGATCTGCAAAAATGCCTTACTTATGTCGGCAATTACGGCCACTGGATGCTTCCGAAAGCTCATCAAGTTGGCCGCAAGGTTGAGTTGCTCTGCATTTCCTTTGAAGAGTCGCTCGTTCAGTGAGGGGGAGTTGGCACTGGCATCGAAGACGATTCGGAAGCGTGTGGTCGAGCTTCCCTCTTTGATCACTTCGCGGTGTGGCAGGTAGAAGGCTTCCTCTGTCCAAGGCACTTCAGAGTCGACCGGCGCGGCGTGTCCATTCTTTACGTACTCCATCAGATTGGACTCGTACTCCTTGGTCATGTCGTGGCGCTCTAGACGGGACTGCAGTCGATCATGCCGATGTTTGGCAGAGAAGAAGTTGTTGGCTGGCATAGGGCCAGGTAGAAAGGGCAGCCGCGCGACAAACCGACCTTCTGGGGTCCGGCTCAACTTCAAGGGCATTTCGGGCTCGGTTTCATCTTCGGTGAGCTCCTTCACCAACGGCTCCTCTTCTGGCGCAATCTCATTGGCCAAGGCTACTCGTAGGCACCGAACTCGGGTGGCTGCTACGCGAGTACGTTCCTTGGGGTCGGAGATGTAGACACGACCCACCATCGTGTCGAAGTAGCAGCGCCC